CTCACTAAACTCAGAAGCTGTCAAAAGCCCAAAGGCCCATGAAGCCCAAAACTAGGCCCATATTATATTTATAGTAGAAAATTTTGTTTGGTGTTATTTTCTAATTAGAATTAGAAATTTACGCATATAATTAATGTAAACCCCTAATTCTAATAGAAAAGCATTATCAATTGAAAAACTATACTTAAATTTTAAATGTAATTTAGTAGAGTGAAAAAAAAATATTATTTTGCTTAAAAAAATTCTTATGACAAATTTGTAGTTAGAACGGCCCGTTCCGAATTCAGAACGACCCGTTCTGGTTTAACTAGTGATGTGTTATTTTTTAATCTGGGATGGGCCGTTCTGCTTTCGAAACGGGTCGTTTTGATTTCGGAACGGACCGTTCTGATTTCGAAACGGGCCGTTTTGATTTCGGAACGGGTCGTTCTGATTTCGGAACGGGCCGTTCTTATCCATTCGTCATGTGTTTTTTTTCGTCTAGAACGGCACATTCCGATCTATTATTCATGTGTTATTTTTATACGTGGAACGGCCCGTTCTGATTTCAGAACGGCCCGTTCCGAAAGTGAATAACAGTTATGTCAGTGCATCGTAACACGTGCTTTTTTTTGGTAAATTAAAAAAAAATAATTTGAGTCAAAAAGTTGAAAATTTGGATCCAGTGTGATAGGGTGTATTGGTAAACAATAGGCTTAGATGCATCTAATGGTAATTTTTCATGGTGCACCCATACGCCACTTGTAGTAATGGTCCATGAGAGAATTTACCATAAAGGAGTGTTTACTTCAAAAGTAAGTTTATCTAATCTTACTCTGTTTAATAACTCATATTTTATATTAAATTTTAACGATCCAACCGTTAAATTTAAAGTTATTAATGCATAAGTCAAATCTGTAAATTTTAAAAAAATTCAAAAAGTATTTGATACTTCATTTTATCAATTCAAATCAATATATAAAATAATTTTATGATTATTCGTTAATTTGAATTAATGAAATGAAGAATCAAATGATTTTCAAATTTTTTAAAAATTTGCAGATATGATCTATGCATTAAAAACTTTAAATTTAACGGTTGAATCATTAAAATTTGATATAGAATATGAGTTATTGAATAGAGTAAGTCTAGGTAAAATTATTCTTAAAATAGGTAAATGAATGATCGGTTAATCTTAGGGTGGTGTATTGGTTTAGGATTTCGTAGGATTTTAAAAGACTTTTTTTGAGTAAAAAAGTCCATTGGTATTCAATTAAGATTTTATGTCACTTAAAAAACAATCCAGTGGTATTCAATCTGGATTTTCAAGATTTTTTAAAGAGTCCATTAAAATCCACTGATATTCATTTGAGATTTTTTACAACTTAAAAACAATCCATTGGTATTAAAAAATATAAGGATTTTAAAGGATTGTTGTGAGAGAGGGATTTTGTAGGACTTTCTAGTGTTATCTATAAATACCAGATTCATAAAACAATCACATCCAAACCCATCGGATTTTGAAGGATTGTTTGAAGTGATTTTCAAGTGTTTCAAGAATTTTCAAGTGAGTTTTTTTATCTTTTTTTTTCTATGCTGCTGTCTTAGTTGGAGGAAGAACCCTTTCAGCATAAAAACTGCAAACTCTCTCCTTCCCTTGAATTTGTTACTCTTATCCCTCCTCCTTTTATGACTCAACAATTATTTTATTTTTTTTACTATGAATTTTTCTTTTTATTTTTATATTGTAAAATTAAGATTTTTTAATATTTTAAAAAAAAATTAACATAAGACATTGCAGTATCTAATTTTTTAGGGTTTAGGATTTATGCATTCATTAGCTTATTTTTAAAAAAAAGGAAATATTGTTAAAATATTTGTTAGAATAATTTACATTTATAAATATCGTTAAAAATTATCATATAGGAAAAATTATCTTATGTTTCTATATTTTCATTTTTACATATTGTTTTTATAATGATTGAGGTATTTGATCCATTTGGATAGTCAAGATATATTCGATCTTGTATGATTAGTGTGCTTATAAAAATAATAATATAATTTTATTGATTTTGTCTCTTATCCATAATTATTTATATAACTAGTTTTCAACATATATTGTTTTAGTAATTCAAATGGGAGATTCACAAGAAAATAATAAAGAAAAAGGAAAAGAGAAATAAAACTATGAAGCTTGGACCAAGAAGGATTCTGATGAATTATTACAATTGATAGTGAATGCTATAAAAAGAGGATAGGATATTATGAAAAATTATTATTATTATTTATCTAGACACTATTGTTTTTTTTTTGTTTTTTTTTATTTTTTTCTTTGACTCTTTTTAAATTTGAATGTATGATTTTTTTTTAAATCTTATCAAATGTCAAAACTCCACAAAATCCCACATAATCCATTACAATCCTGATTTAAAAATCTTTCAAAATTCATTAAAATCTTGATTTTAAGTCTTGTAGAATCCTACAAAATCTTAAAAGTCATAAAAATCTTACAAAGTCTTTTAAAATTCGAAAGATTTTTTTTAACTAGAAAAATCTTTTATAATTCTAATCCAATATACCTCCCTTAAAATATTTATTAGTAGCAGTTAAATTAGAGGTGTAGCTTAGTTAAATTTTGTGCGGAGGGCTTGGGCTGTCCTAGGTAGCTAGCAGCCATAACCAGCCAGTCAAAATGTCACCTGCTGCTGCTATGCTACGCGTGGAGCTTGTGATCTTTCTACTTTCTACTTTTGATCTTCTCATGGCCTACAACTCTTGACCTTTCTATAACAATCAATCCTGTCGTCTTCCAATTTCATCTATTTTTTGTTATATAAATATTTTTTTAATTTTTTTATGGACATTAAATAAAGTAAGATGTTAGTATTAGATTTTGTAAACATTTATAAAGAGTCCATAAATATAAAAAAGTTGATGATAAAGTTGCGAAAAAATTTTCTATTAAAATATCAATTTAGTCTTAAAACTGGCTTTATTTGTAAATTAATCTTTTACATTCAAAAAATAAATTTAGTCTTTAATTTTGATTGTAAGTAATTTGGTCCCGAAAATTGACAACAACATAAATTAATTTGATTTTCAAAATTAATACTTATTTAGTTGAATATTTTTTTTGTGATTAAAGGAAGGAAACAACAAAAGCAAAAACAAAAAAAAAAAAAAAAAAAAACGGACAAAACTATAGCCTTAGCATCAAAGGTAAAAACTTAATCTTTGTGAAGTATTGTCAAACAGTTGGAAAAAGTTATTTGAGAAGAGTCACATTTAACTAAAAGTTTGCATAAATATATTTTATTTATTTATTAAAATTATAATGTCTAATACCAGAGTTTGAATTTATAATTTGTATATATTACTCTAACTTCTTTTAAAAATGTGATTTAAAGAGACATTTCAATTCTTATTAAAAGTTCTCAAATAGGACTTGACTCTCAATCTAAATTGGAATAATTTAGTTTTAATTAATTTATTTTTAAATTTAACATCCATCGATTAATCTTATTTTATTGACTAAAATGATTAAAGATAAAATTTTAATTTGATTTCTTAAATACTTTTAATATGTTGTGAAAACAAAATACTTTTAATATTGTTTTCTTACTAAAATTGAAGATTGATCTCGATGATTTATATACCTTTTGAATGTATTTTTTTTATTATATGAATTATCGAATTAAAATTTTAATTTAACTAAAGAATAATATTAGAAAAAAAATGTTTTTATACCAAAAGCATCGGTGAAACTTTAAGTTTTGTCCATTAAGCAATGGTTATTAGCATAAATAATCAAAATAATTACTAAAGATCTAAGTCAAAGATTAAATTAATTAAACTTAATGATATAAAATAAAATGACTTAGAAATACTAATTTCAACATTACTTTCTACTTTGCTTTATCAATTAAAATAGCCGATAATTACAATTCTGGAACTATCTATAGTTAATTTCCTTCTTCTTTTTTTTTTACAAATTTTTATTTTCCCATAGTTTCTTTCTCTAACAATCATTTTCATCCTCCTTCACCCTCTATCCTTTTCTTCCTTTTCTGTTATATCATGATTTCTTATCATTTCCTTCATTCTCTTTTTCTTCTCTTTCAATTATTCTTTTCTTTTTCAGCCATTAAATGTTAGTATTGAAAAATTTACAACGTCAGAAATGCATTAGTATCATTTTACACCTGGTCAATAAAACCAACATATTCATATAAATACTTCTACTACAGATTCCATCTTTCGTTCTCTGACACTTCCTTCTTCAAACCAAACTTTCTTTCTTTTCCATCATAGCATTATTAGTATTTCATACCCTCTTGACCCCTCTCTGCAACCAAAGCATTTTTTTCCCCATTCTCTTAAACACTCCATCTTCTCTCTTCTTTTGATCTGCATAAATATTAAATATGAAGGTATTGTTCAACTTGCCAATTTTGGTTCTTCTCTGCTCTTCGTTACTTGCTTATTCATTTTCTAAAACTGGCTAATTTTCTCCTCTTAACTTTATTTCATTGTTGATTCTCCATGAGCTTTATGCTTTTCCCCTTTTGTTCCTTTATTCTTTTCACATCCTCTCTTTTCTCCCTTATTAATCCTGATTCAAGGATCTGGGGTGGCCTGAAATGAATTTGTATATTCCCTTCATCAGAATCCTGGTTTTGGATTTTCAACACCTGGGTCTGTATTTTGGATGGTTGATATCACATCTTTTGCAATATATTATGAGCTTTTGGGTTGTAGATAAATTTTGGAGGTTCTAAAGTGTCACTTTTTTTTTTCTTGTTCAGATATTGTATGTTGTTGTTCTGTAAATATTCTTTCACAGTTCCTGAGTCAAATGTTCTGTTTATTAATTAATTTGTTTGTGGGTTAAAGAAGTTCCTGATTTTGTTTACAGAAGTTTGTACTCAAGTTAGATTTGCATGATGACAAGGATAAGCAGAAGGCATTGAAAACGGTCTCAACTCTTTCAGGTAATGAATAATTTTGTGGTTCACTTTGGGAATTTGGATCGTTTCTCCACTATTTTTATCTTTTTTTATTTATTTAAAATTTAGCCTTCATTATCTTGAAAATTGAATTATTAGAACCAGTCAACAGGGCAGTAGTAGAGGGCTGCACGTCTCTTACTCTTACATTGGTGTCTTTCTTATTTTGTCTAAGATACTTGGATATCTAGAATTGTCGGTTCTGGATGATCAAATCGAGGGTATGAAAGATAACAGTAAAGATTAAAAAATACTAATACTCAGATCTTTATGTTCTCAAGTTTCTCATGTCATGTATATTTATAGCTATTCTGATTATTCTATATCAAGTATGTAAGTTTTAAGATTTGGGTATATTGCTATCTTGTAATAGAATGTTTTTCCGGGTCAATTGGAAGATACTCAAGGGTACCTCATTCTTTCCCTTAAATCTTACCTTGTAACACCATGATGATCCACTTAATTTTCTTTCCACTTGAGGAAAATATATGCTTAATCCGCTACATAGTTTAGATAAATTGATATTAAGTAACAATAAAATTTTAATTTCTATAGCTGAAATAGATCAAATAGGCTCCCACTCTAAATCAGACAAAGTTGTGTGATACTGATAGGATGTCATCAAATTTTTCTAGGTTATGTTAAAATTGCAATGGTTTTTGATATATGTTTGAGAATAAATCATCTTAGAATGTGCATTAATCTGATAACCACTAGGATGGGTATGGGGATAGAAAGTTGGGATAATATGCAAAAAGTTCTATTTTCCAGCGTTACTGCTGATACCGTAATTTTTACTGATAAATGAAACTCTTAAAGTGAGAGTTCCTGGCCATGATAGTTTATTAGTTTTTGTTTGATGATTTGTTTCTGATGGAGTGCCTCCTTATGAAGTTCTGGTTGATAATTTCTTCTGCATCAATGCTCATATAAAGAAAAACATGGGTACTCCTTAAGAAGTTTTGTTTCAAAGAAGAAAAAGTGCTAATGACAAGTTTGTTCAACATGTTAGGAATTGATGCGATTTCCATGGATATGAAAGAGAAGAAATTAACAGTGATAGGAACAGTGGATCCGGTAAGTGTGGTGAGCAAATTGCGCAAATACTGGCAGACAGACATAGTAGCAGTAGGACCAGTGAAGGAGCCAGAGAAGAAAGAGGACCCCAAGAAAGGAGACGGCAAGAAGGATGGAGAAAAGAAAGATGATCAAAAGAAGGAAGATGGCAAAAAGGAAGAGGGAAAGAAAGAAGAGAAGAAGGATGATGATAAGAAGAAAGAGCCACCCCTAGATCCTGTTTTGGAATGGGTAAAGGCTTATAGGGCATATAACCCCTACATGACCACACACTACTATGCTCCAAGCATTGAAGAGAATCCCAATGCCTGTGTCATTTGTTAAGGGAATTCAAGGACATACTTTTTCAACATGTAAATAATATGGTCATGCCTTGTTCAGTTGTTGGGATGTTTTCATTGTGTAGAGAAGCAGCAATAAAATTTTGGGGATGTAATTTCATTATATACTTTTTTGCTGTAATATATAGTTGCTATTTGAATGGATCATCATCCACTAAATTAATGTAGCGTGTATGTTTGTTTAAAATATTATTTGAAATAAAAAGGCTTTTTTTTTTTGTGGGGTTGGGTGAGGGGAAGCAGCCCCAACTCCAGATCTATTGGCACATCTCAACCACTCCAAACCACAAAGAAAATGCCTTTTTTGTTAGTCCGTAGCATTGTCATGTCTTTCTTTATGTGGGACATGGTGGCTGAAAAGCATAGTACCCCATTAATTATTGAGGTTGAGATTCTTTTCCATTTCAGAGCTTTGTCTTTCTCTCCAATTGTCACACATTGAAGAAATTATTATATGGTTGAGAACTTACATGACACATAATTGATTGTTACCTTGATGCACTGCAATTGTGATTTAGAGAAAAATCATGCCAGTTGTGGGGCTCGTTTGTCTCATTGGTTTACTTCATGCATGATTATAGTATATAGTTTGGTGGTAAAAATAATGATGGGTATAAAATTATAGTGGATTCACCGCAAAACAACTATTTTATACCGATCCAGATACTTAAGTGCCATGATCTCAAGTTGCTAGGGCCTAGGTGGTTATAAGTACCGTCATCATTATTTTTCTAATGGTGTTGATGAGTTAATTGGTCTTCACCATTCGGTCTTATCTAGTAAGAAATGCATATCAAACTTTTGGGCACATGTGATTTGTTTTTATTAATTTTGAGAATATGTTCATGCTCATGTATCAGATTTGTACTTATTTTCTAATACACTACTTAGTGGAGTATGATTAAAGCAATTTCATCACCTCGCTCTCAATAACTTTTTGTTTGTTCTTCTCTCCGAAAGACACAGCACGTAACTTCAACTACTGTTAACTTTAGTTACGTATCACCTCATCCAAGTTTTTTTTTTCCAAGAAAAATTATAAACGTTTATTTATTTTTTTATTTTTGTCATTATTCACTTTCTTTCTATTTCTTGTTCATCACATCATTAATTATCATATTTATTACTTTCTCTGTCTACTCCTTTTCTTTTTCTTTCTTTGCTTCTTATTTCTCTCATATCTTCACCTAATTCTCCCCCAAAATGGAGTCCGTGTTAATTACCACCCTTTGTTCAACCCACTTGGAGAAGACTCCCTTCTTCTAGCTTACTAATTTGCATTTGATATCTGTCTATTTTTTATAACATGTATTTTCTTTTAGAGGCGATTTAATTTGAGACACAATCGAATTAAATATAGAAAAAAAATCTAGAGAAAGTTGAAGGTTAAAACATTTAAAGAATGTTGTGGCAGACTAATCCTTTGGAGTTAGTTTAATTTCTATTTTTCACTTGGGCTTAGGCCCCTTTTTTTCACGAATTCCTAACCCCCC